CCTAACAATGTTCCTCTTGGATCGAGGTCTGATTCCTTTCCCCCTGCTTATTTGCGAGAGAAGTGGCCAGGAGGCCAGACCCATGATCCCATCCACATTCTTGATCACCCACCGTACAGGGTCAATCCCGAAGAAGTTTTGCATGTTTTAAGGGTACACTTCTGCATGAACCCCATACACCAAACCGGCATAACAAAGGCCATCTCCGGAGATAATCTTAAATGAGCACCCTCTTCCGAGGAACTATCAACCTTCCAATTTCCTTGACACAAGGCAGATGGGTGAAGAGAGCACACCTCAGTTTATAGAACGTATTCGGATGATGAAAGGGAAGTGTCCAATTGTTATTGATGAAGGGAAAATGACCAATTTGGTGGTCTAAAATACGCATACCAGACTAAGAGAAGCTTTGACCGCCCATGATATTTGGGATCTGGCGCAGCTTGCGTCTAAAGCGGGTCTTTTGGAATCCTTGTTTAAAGAAAATGACTGAAATCTCAAGAGGAAAAAATTTCAACAAATGGCCAGTGTAGCGAAAAATGCATGTACCCCCGATCTGGCGGATATTAAGGGAGTTGAGGAGATGTCAAAGGAAAGCCATACGTTTGCCCTAAGTTGAAGCCTGCACCCGGGGCGTAACTAAATAAAGATCAACCAATATTTAATATTTCCAAGGTAGATGATATTTTTGACATCCTACTGGTTGGTGGTCAAATCCGAATACCGAAGGGCCAACGATTAGCCACCAAAGAAGAAATAAGGAGAGGCCTTATTGCAATTGGTACAATTTGTTCACCTATAGTATGAGCCAGTGCACCCATTTCCAAAAAGAAATACAAAAGGAAATTAGAGAGGGTAGGTTCAAGTATGTTTGTTACTTTAGGGGTAGAGCAACAACCATTCCCAAAAGTAACAATAGCTACAGTTGGAATTGCCAAAGGAAAGACACTGAAGAGTTAAACCAGATCCCCGAGTGGCCAAAAAATGGGATAGTTCGGACATAACGTTCGAGGTTGAGGTCAAGTTTGAGAAAGCCCCAGATACTGAAAATTGACAAGTGGAACCATAATCGGAGGATGCTACTCATCAACATTAATCCCAAATTCCCAGGTATGAACCACCCTCAAATTAGGAATGCTAGTGATGCAAGGTAAGCGACGGAAGAGAAACGGATGGCGCAAACAAGTCCTTATTAACTCGGGTACGGTGCCCGAATAGAATATTAGGATACTTAAACGAACAGGATAATCTGAAATCCGGAGCTCTCCTTTGATAAAGGCCCAGTGTTTTAGATGTTGGTTCTGCCGCAAGGTTAATACAGATCCGGAAATAGAAAATGCCCCTGGATCCAATGGGATAACATTTGGGACCTTCTCACCGAATGAGATCCAGAATCTTAAGCAACTGAGCCAAGTTTCATCATTCGGAAGGATCCTTTCGGTTATATAGGGACTCAACATCAAGATACTCAGCTATTTTCGGTAAGGATGCTGCGTATTCTTCCCGTGGAAGAGGAACCAACGTAGGCCCATTTTTCCAAAGATAAGTGGTTCGAAAAAGGGGGGGCATCTCTAATACCATACGAGTCGTTTGGATCACCTTAATTTGTTTTTCCTCCTATACCCAAAGGGAAAACGCCGCATTTGAAGCCTCTCTATGTCGACGTTCATATCTATGGGAAACCAATGAGTAAGGTTTTTATTGACAATTGTGCAGTTTTCAGTGTCATGCCACTCAAAACCTTGTATAAGTTAGGAAAGACAGTGGTTGACGTTACGCTAGTGGATATTGAAATGACATGGTTTACAGGACAGCCGACCAAACCAAAGGGAATGATGGTCGCCCCCCATAGAGGTGAGGCCAAAGACTGTTTCTACAGTTTTTGTGGTCGAAACGGATACTACTTATTCCATTCTGTTGGGCGAAATTGGATACATGTCTCTCTTTGTGTGCCTTCCTCACTTCACCAGTAGTTAATGTTCTGGAAAGGAACTAAAGTTCTCACCATGGAGGCCAGTATCAATCATTTATATCCTTCAGATGATATTGAGGAAGCTGCTTTCTACTCAGGCAATTTTCCACTTATCTCTCAGGCTGCCCTAACAAACGAATACCCATGGAAGAGCTGCAAACTTACCAATTAAGGGTACATTTTCTCATGAAGGGAACAAATGTTACATTTTAGTGGCTAACCAACAGCCAGAAACCTTCATATTTTTGCATATTTGATGGATTTTTGAGGTATTGTGGAATATTAAAGTATTTGTGATTTCTATTTTAAACAACTAATGTTTAGACTAGAAAATTGTAAGCCAGGTTTGATATTCAAAACCAAAATGGTTAGTACAAGTGGTCCGACCTTCTAGAGAAAATAGAGCCATCTTTCACGGTATGGGACCCTTTGGTGAAATTCAATCTAGGGACGAAGGAAGTCCCACAGATAGTTCATGTTAGTGGTTTTTTGTCACAATCACAGCATGAGGTATTGATCAGCCTGATTCATAAACACATTGACTGCTTAGCTTGGGATTATTACAAATGCCTGGGTTAGATAAGAGTTTAATTGAGCACCGACTCCCTATCAAAAAAGGTTTTAAACCTTATAAGAAAGCCCACTGCAGGTTTTCGCCAAAAGTAATGCCTCAGATTAAGGAAGAGATCAAAAAGCTCGTAAAGGTTGGCTTCATTCACCCATGCAGATATGTCGAATGGTTGTCTAATATAGTACCGGTGACTAAGAAAAATGGAACGATAAGGATCTGTATCGACTTTAGATATTTGAATCTAGCCGATGTAATACCCCGTAAAATAATCGCCGGAAGTTTGCCGGAGTCGGACAAATTTCATTTTGGGCATAATTTATTTTGGTCTTTTAGTGTAATTAATTAAAGAGTTGGGTTTAAATTAGAATTAAAAATTGAGTTTGGGCCAAAGTAGAATAAAATAATTAATAAATGACTAAGTATGTTATGTTAAATAAAAGAATAAAAAAATTAAAAAAAAAGAGCAGCAGCAGCAGCCAGCACGCCCGCCAGCGCCGCCGCCAGCCCCCTGCTCTCCCTTGGACTTCTTCTCCAAAATTCTTCCTTTTGGTCTCTTCTCTTGAGGTAAGTGGGATTAATCTTAGATAGATTCATATGTTCTAATCCCTAGACCCTTCTATTGATATCTTTTTCAATATTCTTGTCAAATGGGTTTGCCCCAAAAGTGTTAGGTTTTGCGAATTTCTTCTAGAAAGTTGATTATAATATTTATATGAAGATTATTATTGGATTTTAAATTGAAAAGCGTAGAATTTATGGGATGGGTTTTGAAACCCTAGTTTTGCCCTAACCTAGTTATGGTTTTTGGAAAAAGATTTACGATTATATTTAAATATCATGATTTTTGGAATTAGACCATGCCTATTGTGATTGAAATATTTTCGAATGTTTATTTGGTGAAATAAAGTGAAATCATAACGAATTTGTTCGGTCTAATATCCTACTTTGCATGGTTAACTGTTGACAATTGGAATATTTTCAGTTTAAAACACTATTTTTGAAATTTGCCTAAGAGCATGTTGAGTATTTAACTACCCGTCGAGTCCGATCAACTCGTCGATTGTTTGGATGATAAGGCATAGCCTTCCACCTCTGTGCCTTGCAAACATGTGAGAGTATACCGGTATTTTAGGATAACTAGCTAACCTTGAACTAGATCCCGAATGGGCTAGGTCGAGGGATCGAGATGGCGGGTTCCCTTTTGGGTGATACCGAGGTGCCCGTCATTCACGATGAAAAGGTCTTTAGACCGCCATCCGTGATAGAGGGTTGGATTGCGTACAATCCCCTCTTGGTATGTTATATTGGAGACTAGAGGGTTGTGGGCCGTATGGCGCCGCTCGCCAACTAATAATAAATTGATTTACGTGTACTTTGGATTTTGAACCCTTATGTACACATTGTGGAGTTTTCTTTGAGGGTTATGACCCTATGTTGTTATGTGAAATTATGTGGCGTGTCATACGAAATAATAAGGTTGGAAAATCGGGTCGAGCCGGCCCTGATTAAGGCCTAGTGGAGTTTTCTTCGTGATGTGCTCATCGCTATTATTTGAGAATGAAAAGGAGGTATAAGGGAGGCGCTAAAAGACTCGTGTGTGTGAGTTCCCCTTATGTGATACGTGTCATTTTATTTGACTATATTCTTCAAATGATTTTGTGGCATTATATCATTTATCTTCGATTAATTGCGCTTACTCAACCGTTGTGTTGACCCCCTTCTTACGATTCTTTTTGTAGGTGATCATGCTTCCGTTATGCCTAAGTGATGCATTCACGTCATATGATCCATCGGGGGAAATGAGAACTACCTTACCTTCTAAAATGTTTTGAAATTCATTGATTGTGTTTAAAGACTAATGCATTTTGAGCTATTTCCAATTTATGCTTTAAATTGAACTTTATTTACTTAATTGATGAGCCGGTGCGCTTTAATTCTAAGTTCCTATTAGTTGTTGGTAATTATTATTTAAGCCTTAGCGCCACAACGTAGGACTCGTTGGTTGATGAACGAGCCTTCTGTGTGGCGTGGCGGTGACGCTCCGGTTTGAGCCGGCCGGGGTGTTACAGTTGGTATCAGAGCCAAGTTAAAGGCTCATTCTTCTTGGTTAATAAAACTTGAAGATTTCAAAATTTCTAAAAGCAATTAGATCATGGGCTTAGTCGGGTTTGGGTGAATTCATGGCATGCATTGCATTTTATGTTTATTCCATGTGTTTATGTGTATTGTTCATGCTATCAGACTAATTGGAGCTTATTAGGTCTAGTCTCAATTAGCAAGATGCCCCCTAGGCGTGCTCGTCAGCCACCTGTGGCACCTGATTCCGATGAAGAGGTTGAGAGTAGGCAATCCCAAAACCCCGAGCCTCCAGTTCAGGATCCCGTTCGACCGTCAGACCCGACATTGGAGATCTTTCATCAGTTTATGGGACAGTTCACTTAGCAGCCCCGGAGTGCTATGGATGCGGTGTTACGTCATAGTCCTCCGACTTTCATGGGTCAATCGGACCTGACTATTTTTGGAGAATGGTTGGATCGTTTGGAGACTATATTTGAGGTGGTGAAATGCCCGGAAGGAGAGAAGACGATGATAGCTGCATATTATTTAGAAGGACTAGCCAAGAAGTGGTGGAATAATGAGAAGGCTTCCGGGAGAAATTTGGTTAGATTACCGTGGGAGGCATTCAAGACGATGATAAGGGCGCGCTTTTATCCTCCGCACATTCAGAGAGCAAAAGAGGATGAGTTTAATGCCTTGGTGCAGGGCAATATGACGGTGGAAGAATACTTCACGCGTTTTAATGAATTGGCTGCCTACGCTCCGGATTTGGCAGCAAATGATCGGTGCAAACTGACAAGATTTGTTGGTGGGCTGAATAGAGACCTTCAGTGGTTCTTAGCCTGCTTCAGTGTGTCGATCCTTCAAGAGGCATACGAGAAAGCAGCTAACATCTATCGGGCAAATCGAATAGCGTATGATGAGCGGAGGGATGGGGCCCGCATGGCAGATAGAGGAAAAGAGAAGGTGAGCGAGGGTTTGAAGAACTATAAGCGAAGGATCAATCGGAGAGGTTTTCGGGTACACCCTATGCATCTCGCCCTAAATTCACTCAAAGGAATTCGAGTGACAATCGTGGAGGTCCGACTGTTTGTAGCAGATGTGGAAAATCTCATCCTGGAGTTCATTGTGACGGCCAGCCATCACTTGCTATTACTGCCATGAGCCGGGACATGTTAAGAGGTTTTGCCCCAAGTTAGTTGGAGCTCCGAATGCATTTGAGAGGACCCCGGTTCCACAACAACAAGGTCGTACACTGCCGTTGGCACCTCAGCGTGCAAGAGGAAGGGGAAGGAGTGGCCAGAAATGTCACATTAATGTCATGACGAGAGGGCAAGTTGTGGAGAACCAGGGAGATGTCATGACCGGTACGTTCTTGGTGAATTATTTACCTGTGGTTATTCTCTTTGATTCCGGTGCATCCCTTTCTTTCATATCGAGTAGATGTGCTAAGAGGTTAGAATTAGATTCTCGAGTAGAGGTTTCGGTGGAGATTAGGCTTCCTTCATGAGAGCTAGTGCCTTGCAATTGTCTTTTCGTAGGAGTGTCTGTAATGATCGGAGGCATAGAATTCCCTACTAATCTTTTGAAGCTTAAATTGGAGGAGTTGGATATCATTTTGGGTATGGATTGGTTGGCTACCTATCAGGCCCGAATAGATTGTGGTGGGAGGAAGATCTTTCTTCGAAGCCCTTGCGGTGGAGGAGTTGTGTATGAGGAGATTCCTTATCGCCCATCGATTAAGATAGCGTATGCTGTCTCTCTGCATGAGTTAACTCGTAAAGGTCACCCGTTGTTCCTATGTGAAGTGCATGATGTCTTGGGAGATGGGAGTCAACTTTTTAAACATGCCGGTGGTAAAAGAGTTTGCAGATGTATTTCCTGATGAGATACCGGGTATGCCGTTTCACCATGTGATAGATTTCACGATTGATATAATTCCAAGAGCAGAACCGGTGTCTAAGGCTCCCTATCGTATGGCACCTAAGGAGTTAGCCGAATTGAATGAGCAGCTTCAAGAGTTGTTGGAAAAAGGGTATATCCGGCCGAGTAATTCTCCTTGGGGAGCGCCCGTTCTATTTGTTAAGAAGAAGGATGGTAGTCTTCGGTTGTCAATTGATTATCGAGGATTAAATCAAGTTACCGTTAAGAATAAGTATCCTCTTCCAAGGATTGATGACCTCTTTCATCAACTAAAGGGAGCAAGCGTATTCTCGAAGATAGATTTGAGGTCGGGATATCATCAGCTTCGGATTTCAGACAGCGATATTTCGAAGACAGCGTTTCGAACTCGTTATGGGCACTATGAGTTTACGGTGATGTCATTTGGGTTGACGAATGCTCCAGCTGCCTTCATGGACTTGATGAATAGAGTAGTCAGACCATATTTGGATAAGTTCGTTGTGGTCTTCATTGATGATATATTGGTGTATTCTTCGAGCGAGGAGGATCACGCGAATCACCTCAGGTTAGTGCTACAAGTATTGAGGGAGCATCACTTGTATGTTAAACTGTCTATGTGTGAATTTTGGTTGAACGAAGTAGCATTTTTGGGGCATGTTATTTCGAGGGATAGTGTTTCGGTTGACCCATCAAAAGTGAGTGCTATTGAAAATTGGCCCCGACCAAAGACGCAGACAGAGATTAGGAGCTTTTTGAGGTTGGCCGGGTATTATCGGAGGTTTGTACAAGACTTTGCACGATTGGCAAGTCCATTGACATCGTTGTTGAAGAAAATGTCAAAGTAGTGTGGAGCGAATCATGTGAACAAGCTTTTCAAGAGTTGAAACGGAGGTTGACAGTTGCACCGGTATTGGCATTGCCGATAGATGGCCGAGAGTTCGATGTGTATTGTGATGCGTCAAGACGAGGATTGGGGTGTGTGTTGATGCAAGATGGAAGGGTGATAGCATATGCTTCGAGGCAGCTTAAATCGCATGAAGAGAAATATCCAACTCACGACTTGGAAATGGCGGCTGTCGTGTTTGCTCTCAAGATATGGCGACATTACCTTTACGGAGTTCATTGCAAGATTTACACCGATCATAAGAGTTTGAAATACATATTCACTCAAAGAGAGTTGAATATGAGACAACGGAGGTGGTTGGAATTAGTAAAGGACTATGACTTGGATATTTTATATCAGGAAGGTAAGGCGAATGTAGTTGCTGATGCTTTGAGTCGGAAGTCAAGTCATGACGTATGTTCAATGACATTACCTGTAGAGTTGTGTCATGAGTTCGAGAATCTACAAATTGAGGTAGTGGGTCCTAAGATGATTGAAGGATATATGGGTGCCTTGTCGGTTGAGCCCGAGATTTTGAGGGAGATTCCAGAGGCTCAGGTTTATGACGATGATTTACTCAACTTAGCGATAAAGGTGCAACAAGGTGAAATAAGCGAATTCCATGTTGGTCGGGATGGAAGCCTAAGATTTCGAGACAGATGGTGTGTGCCCAAGGAACGGTTGGATATTAAGGAAAGGATACTTAAAGAAGCTCATAGTTCTCCACATTCAGTGCATCCCGGTTGCGATAAGATGTATAAAGATTTGAAAGGACATTTTTGGTGGCGCGGTATGAAAAGGGACATTGCAGAGTATGTCGCCAAGTGTTTGATTTGCCAAAAGGTCAAGGCGGAGTATAAGAGACCTATGGGTTTGTTGAGACTGTTGGAAGTTCCGTAATGGAAGTGGGACTCGATTGCTATGGATTTTGTGACCGGATTACCGAAGTCGAGATCGACCGCGGATGCCATTTGGGTAGTTGTTGATCGATTGACTAAGGCAGCAGTTTTTATCCCGATAAACATGACTTGAAGCATGCAGAAGTTGGCAAAGTTGTATATCCAACACGTGGTGAAGAGGTATGGAGTTCCGGAGGTGATTGTCTCGGACCACGACCCCCGTTTTCAGTCGCATGTTTGGCAAAAGCTTCAGAAAGAGTTCGGTACTCGGTTAAGGATGAGTACGGCCTTTCATCCGATGACCGATGGGCAGACTGAACGCACCATTCAGATTTTGGAAGATATGTTGTGAGCTTGTGCATTGGATTCTCAAGGCCGATGGGAGGATCCGTTGGCTCTAGTAGTCTCCTACAATAATAGCCATCAAGCAACCATTGGGATGGCACCCTTTGAGGCTTTGTATGGGAGAAAGTGTAGAACGCCGTTGTGTTGGAGTGACCTAAGCGAAAGGGTTGTATTGGGGCCCGAAATGATTGAGGAGATGATGGATCAGATTTGTAACATCAAGGCTAAGATGAAAGCCGCCCAAGATCGCCAGAAGAGTTATGCCGACCTTGCTCGGAGGGACGGGCATTTTAAGGTGGGTGATCATGTATTACTTAAGGTCTCACCGACGAAGGGTGTGAGAAGATTTGGTATTAAGGGAAAGTGGAGCCCGAGGTATGTAGGGCAGTACGAGATCATCGAAAGGATTGGAGAGGTGGCCTACAGGTTGGCCTTGCCGGAGACATTGAAAAGGGTTCACGATGTTTTTCATGTCTCTCAATTGAGGATATACGTGGCTGACCCATCTCATATACTTCAGCCGGAAGTCTTGGATCTTCAGGAGGATTTGGTGTACTCAGAGCAACCTATTCAAATTGTGGCTTTCAAAGTTAGATCGATGCGGAACTGTGAAATAAGGATGGTGAAGGTAGTGTGGTCGCGGCATGGGGTTGAAGAAGCGACATGGGAAACTGAACAAGAAATGCGAGAAAAGCATCCAGAGTTGTTTGAGCTAGCTCCGGGCGTACAGATGAATTTCGAGGACGAAATATCCTAAGGGGGGAAGGATGTAATACCCCGTAAAATAATCGCCGAAAGTTTTCCGGAGTTGGACAAATTTCATTTTGGGCATAATTTATTTTGGTCTTTTAGTGTAATTAATTAAAGAGTTGGGTTTAAATTAGAATTAAAAATTGAGTTTGGGCTAAAGTAGAATAAACCAATTAATAAAGGACTAAGTATGTTATGTTAAATAAAAGAATAAAAAAAATAAAAAGAAAAGGAGCAGCAGCAGCAGCCAGCACGCCTGCCAGCGCCGACGCCAGCCCCCTGCTCTGCCTTGGACTTCTTCTCCAAAATTCTTCCTTTTGGTCTCTTCTCTTGAGGTAAATGGGATTAATCTTAGATAGATTCATATGTTCTAATCCCTAGACCCTTCTATTGATATCTTTTTCAATATTTTTATCAAATGGGTTTGCCCCAAAAGTGTTAGATTTTGCCAATTTCTTCTAGAAAGTTGATTATAATGTTTATGTGAAGATTATTATTGGATTTTAAATTGAAAAGCGTAGAATTTATGGGATGGGTTTGAAACCCTAGTTTTGCCCTAACCTAGTTATGGTTTTTGAAAAAAGATTTACGATTATATTTAAATATCATGATTTTTGGAATTAGACCATGCCTATTGTGATTGAAATATTTTTCGAATGTTTATTTGGTGAAATAAAGTGAAATCATAACGAACTTGTTGGGTCTAATATCCTACTTTGCATGGTTAAATGTTGACAATTGAAATATTTTGAGTTTAAAACACTCTTTTTGAAATTTGCCTAAGAGCATGTTGAGTATTTGGTCAAATTGGTAACTGAAATTACCCGTCGAGTCCGATCAACTCGTCGATTGTTGGGATGATAAGGCATACCCTTCCACCTCTGTGCCTTGCAAACACGTGAGGGTATACCGGTATTTTAGGATAACTAGCTAACCTTGAACTAGATCCTGAATGGGCTAGGTCGAGGGATCGAGATGGCGGGTTCCCTTTTTGGGTGATTCCGAGGTGCCCGTCATTCACGATGAAAAGATCTTTAGACCGTCATCCATGATAGAGGGTTGGATTGTGTACAATCCCCTCTTGGTATGTTATATTGGAGACTAGAGGGTTGTGGGCCGTATGGCGCCCCTCGCCAACTAATAATAAATTGATTTATGTGTACTTTGGATTTCGAACCCTTATTTACACATTGTGGAGTTTCCTTTGAGGGTTATGACCCTATGTTGTTATGTGAAATTATGTGACGTGTCATACGAAGTAATAAGGTTGGAAAACCGGGTCGAGACGGCCCTGATTAAGGCCTAGTGGAGTTTTCTTCGTGATGTGCTCATCGCTATTATTTGAGAATGAAAAGGAGGTATAAGGGAGGCGCTAAAAGACTCGTGTGTGTGAGTTCCCCTTATGTGATACGTGTCATTTTATTCGACTATCTTCTTCAAATGATTTTGTGGCATTATATCGTATTAATTTATCTTCGATTAATTGTGCTTACTCAACCGTTGTGTTGAACCCCTTCTTACGATTCTTTTTGTAGGTAATCATGCTTCCGTAATGCCTAAGTGATGCATTCACGTCATATGATCCATCGGAGGAAATGAGAACTACCTTACCTTCTAAAATGTTTTGAAATTCATTGATTGTGTTTAAAGACTAATGCATTTTGAACTATTTCCAATTTATGCTTTAAATTGAACTTTATTTACTTAATTGATGAGCCGGTGCGCTTTAATTCTAAGTTCCTATTAGTTGTTGGTAATTATTATTTAAGCCTTAGCGCCACAACGTAGGACTCGTTGGTTGATGAATAAGCCTTCCGGTGTGGTGTGGCGGTGACGCTCCGGTTTGAGCCGGCCGGAGTGTTACAGCCACTCCCAAAGATGAGTATGTTATGCCGGTAGCCGATATGTTGGTGGATTCGTCCGTAGGTCACCAGATTCTGAGTTTAAAGGATGGATACGGGGGATACCATCAAGCCTTTCTGGCTGAAGAAGATGTTCACAAAATTGCTTTCAGATGTCCTGAGCTTTGGGTATCTACTTATGGACGGTCATGCCATTTGGTATAGAGAATGCAAGGACAACCTATCAAAGGGCTATAAATGCTATCTTTCATGACATAATCGGGAACTCTATGGAGGTCTATATTGACGACATCATTGTCAAAACCACTGATTTTCAAATACATTTGTTCAATCTTGAGAAGACCTTCGTCCGAATGGAGAAGTACAATCTCAAGATGAATCCTTTGAAGTGTACCTTTGGTGTGTCAACTGGAAATTATTTGGGATTTCTCATCCATGAGAAAGGAATTGAAGTGGATGCTAATAAAGCCAAATCTATATTGGATATTAGGCCTCCAAGGACGATTAAAGAGGTTCAGAGCATGCTCGGGAAGATGGATTATCTGAGGAAGTTCATAGCAAATACAACTAGTAAGATGAAACCAATTATCAAACTTTTGAAGGCTAAAACAACAACAACCATTACATGGGCCGAAGAGCAACAAAGGGCCCTCGATGCCATCAAACAAGCTTTAAACCGAATCAATAGTTTTGGTTCCACCCTGATTTGGTCAGCCACTCAAGTTATACTTGGAAAATATGTTTGATGTGGTGAGTTGCTTGTTGGCTCATAAATTAGGTGATGGCAAGGACAGAACAATATTTTATCTCAACAAAACACTAGCTGGGCCTGAACTAAATTATACCATGCCTAAAAAGATGTGTTACTTGATGGTTTATGCATGCACCAAACTGGAATATTTTCTCTTTCCGAGGGAAACAGAGGTAATTTCTAAATTCAATATAGTTAAGTGAATTCTCCAGCGGCCTACTATGAAGGGAAGATTAATGAAATTGGCATTTAAATTATCCATTTTCACCTTATCTTATAAGCCAATTAAGGTCATCAAGGGGCAGCCAGTAGTTATTTGTTCGCAGAATTCTCCAAACCAGGCCAAAAAAATTTTAGCGAGAAGGACTATGTGAGATCCAACCCTGGGTCAAGTTCTTTGATAATTCTAGTACCCGAGGGAATTTGAGAGTTGAAGTGGTCTTAGAAGGCCCTGTTTCTAAGCAAATCAAGCTTTGGTTACAATTGGAAGCCATGACACAATACTCCGCAAAGTACGAGGCATTAATTTTAGGATTGGAAGCTCTGTTGAAGAAAAAGATGAAATAAGTTATTATAAAAGGGGATTTTCAACTTGTTATTAACCAGGTGTTGGGTTTATACGCACGTAACTTGCCTCACCTAAGAAAATACAAGGATATCGTGAGCAGACTACTCCAGAATTGCTGAGGTTACGATTGAGCAGACTACTCCAGAATTGCTGAGGTTACGATTGAGCATATCCTTAAGATAGAAAATCACTGGGCAGAAGATCTGACACAAAATGACCATAGGCAAAAAGTAATTGAGCAGGGACCGGTCGAATGTGACGAGTATGGAATGGATACAATTATTTATTGGAGAAATGAGATTGGGGAATATTTGAAGAATCTAGGTTCCTCAGTTACTATTGGTGTCCGACTGAAAGCTTTACGATTTTGATTAATCGGGGATTTGTTATACAAGAGGATGTTGGATGATGTTCTCCTTCGGTGCCTGGGTCCCGAAGAGGCCTTTTCCGTCATACAGGAGGTTCATGGTGGAATTTGTGAGTCCCATCGCGCGGGTTTGGATATGAGGTGGGCCATCCACTGAATAGGATAGTATTGGCCTAAAATATTTGATGATTGTATTCGATTTTCGAGAGGATATGAGGAATGTCAAAGGAACAGGCCGCTAAATCACTTCTAAACGTAGATTTGCAGGAAATGATGAAGTTGTCGTTGTTCAAAGCGTGGGCCAGAATATTATGGGAAAGATCCATCCATCTTCATCTAACCAGCATTGTTTCATTTTGGTGGCGACGGATTATTTCACTAAATGGGTGGAGGCTATACCATTGAGAAATGAAACCCAAAAGAAAATGATAAATTTTTTTTGAGATTACATTTTTTGTTTCGGGATCCCACATTCTATCGTGATGGATCAAGGGCTAATATTTAGTGGCGAAATGTTCATGGATTTTCGGGCCGAATTCAATATTAAGTTGCATCATTCTTCACTATATTATCCAAAGGAAAATGGAAAAGCTGAGGAAACTAACAAATTTTTTATTAATATCATTAAGAAATTGATCCAAGAAAACCCGAAGAAGTGGCATATGTTGCTGCCACAAGCCTTGTGGGCACATCGGAATAGTCAAAATTCGGCTACTAGGTTTTCACCTTACCAAATTACTTTTGGGCAAGATGCAGTCTTTCCAACCAAAATAAAGGTATTGACTGCCTGAATAGCTCTGACAGGAATCAATGTCGATGGAGAAATGAAGCTGAAAAGATGTTTCAACACTTGGAACAACTGTACGTGACTTAGATGGAGGCTATTGATCACATGCACCAGGAAATCAAACTCGGATAAAGTATTACAATAGGAGGATTGGTGCCAGAAAATTTAAAGAAGGCGATTTAGTCTGGAAGACCATTTTGCCAATCTATAAGAGAGTGGACCAATTAGGGAAGTGGTCCCCGAATTGGGAGGGGCCTTACATAATACACAAAGAGATAGATAAATGAGATTTTATTATTACCGACGAAGAAAGAAAATTAGTACATGATTTTATTAATGCCAGATACTTGAAAATGTATTATCCTACCTTTTCAAGTCACGACGACAACCGAACAGCCACTTGATTTTAAAACCCAGCTAGAGGTTTGGACCCGATCAGGACCTTCCTAATCCTCATCTGGAATGGTGATACAACGGGTGTCATCATCATCATTGGATTTGGGAGTCCAAGGGTCAAAAACAAATGGAGGTTCTTCATTTAATAAATCATCCAAATCAAGAAGATATTGCTCTCATTGTTCTTGCGTTTCTTCAAGGGTTCTCACAGTTCTTTTCTTCATGTCCTCCAGGGTTTGGCGTTCTCGATCAAGGAGCACCCGTAGGTGCTGCTCT